AATAAAAAGGAACATATGGAAAAATTGTAAATATGAGGTCCAGCAGGTGATGAATGCTCATGTAACTGAAGAACTTTGCAACACAGATGAAGAAAATGGAAGTAATTTTGAGACTTGGTATTTCTCAAGGACACCGAATAACAGAGGGGTTTCACTTACTGGCAGGGATAGTTTTCAGGAGTGCGAGCGTGTCTGTGGGGAGATTGAGAACTCCAGTGCTGACAGGTATTTCCATATTCAGTAACAGATACTGTGCCTCGATAGTCTTCTCCTCTTCCTGAGAGACACTGACGTCCTGGTGCAGGAGGTGGTGGGGGTGTTGCTGTTACAGAAAAAGGAAATTAATTTAATCAGTGCCTTCTAGATATAGTAAAAAAACTAACAAACTCTCTGAACTTTATAATTAAGTGGGCTTTTTAGATTTCTTTGCAGGTAAGTTCTAAATATTAAAATAATTGAAAAATCTGAAAGGCAGAGAAAAGAACTAAAGATATCTTTCTTAACTTTTCTTTCTCCCATTTTGAGTTCTTCACAAGCAGACAGGCTACCAGAAGGGTATTTGCATCTGCCCCTTTACAGCAGTCAGGATACAAAAGTCAGGATATGAAAATACTAGCAGCCTCATCAGAACAGAGCTGGAAAGTGAGCAAGTGGTAATACTGTGAGGAAAACTGGGGTGAAAGTGTCAGGCCCATCAATGATACAGACAGACGCACATGTCAAATAGACAATACTCAGACAGCAAGGATGAGGTCTAGTGAGAAGTCCCAAAGTATGATGGCAAGGACAGGCCTTTAGGAAAAACTGAAAAGGTTGAGAATTGAATTGGAAGAGCCAAACAAAAGGCAAAGTATTTTCAGAAAGAGTGAAACTTCATGGTATCAAAAGAGGAACATCAGAAGAAACACCAGAAATGTCTGGTCATAGAAAAACACATCAAGGAAGGGAGATGTGCTCCAGACAAAACCACTAGAAATTCCTAGGACAGAAATGTCTAGCCTGAATAAAGCTATCAGAGATTCATTTTAAAGTGATTAATTTTTCCTTGGAGATAAAATTCAGCTCTCTTTTATACTTTTCTTTATCTTTGGAACCTCTTCTGCTTGTTCTAGATCCTAGCACCACTCTGACTGGGAGAAATCTAGAAGTCAGACTCACTGCAACGAGGAATGTCACAATATTCCCAGCGTTTAGTTGGACTGGTAGTGAAACACCAGGGCCGAGGTTCTCCATCAGGATTACGACAATAATTGTTCTTCAGATCCTTCTCTGGGAAACTGAACCAGAAAAATAAGATTTTTAAGTTTTAGGTTTTAAGATATGCTACTAATAGCTGTAACAATTATCCTGTCTGGTGCAGCGTGGTCTTCAGCCCACCACTGATGATAACAAGACCATCACAGAAGATGACTCACTTTTCCGGGAGGTATCCATGAGAGTGAGGTTGCTGGGAGTCCCAGCGCTGGCACTCAAGCCCAGACACTGTTGTTGCAACTACTCCACGGTAGTTTTCTCCACTGCAGTGCATGCACTCTACTGTAGGAACAAGGCAGAATAAGGACAAAGAGAGATAGAAAGCCCCTGGTTGAACTGGTCAAGAAACATTCCCACTCATCTCACATGAAGCACAAGAG